AAAGGTTGCTAATGGGGGCTTCTCCCCGAAGGTGGAAAGCCAGCCCTGGAGTGAGGACGTGACACCCCGCCCCCGCCGATGGCAGAAAGGCACTTGATAAACTCCCTTGAGCCAGGTACGCGGGTGGAGGCAGCATTCCTTTGCACCACGGTGTGTTGTTCCCAGGTCAGTCTCAGCCTGGGGGTTCCAGAGGGGAGATGCTGCAAACTGGGGAGGAAAGGGCAATCTAAAAACCACAGTTCCTCTGCTAAAGGCTGGAGGGGTACATTCCCGAGAGCCCGAGCCCCGCCTGCAACAGAAAAGCCAGGCGCCCCGTGCAGCCCCCAGAGAAAGCAACAAGTAGCCTGCCCCCCTCCCCGGGCAGAGCCTGCAGGAAATGGCGGGGGGGGGGGGGGGGGGAAAGACAGCTGTGGTTCTAGGAGGGCTGGCTGCATTCCCTTTGGGGTGTGTGTGTGTGTGTGTTCTGCCCCAGTATATGCCAGATGGAAGCACAGCTGGATCTATAGGTGGGAGCAAAGGACTGGGCTTGCAGCCACCTACCTCTTTTTTCCTGAAAATCCACTGGAAGTCCGCCCCTGCTAGCAGGTGGGTGTGGCTTGCCTGGGCCTGGGATCAAATGACTGGGACCTATAGAATCAATGATGTTAAATCTTCATCAGGAGTTAAGGAACAGAAAGTTACAGTGGCCAGCCCAATGCATCTTGCCAAGCTGGGCAAAGCCACCTGGAAGAGCCTTACTGAGCCAACCTCGTGTCCCCAGGGCATGCCAAGCTTAAGTAATGCTCCTTGGGACCTGGTGGTGAAGAAGGCAGCTTAGGGAATGACCCTCCTAGTAGGTATCTACTCTGAAATCTCTCTCCATTCCACCAGAGCCTCTTGCTAAACCAGATCCAAACTAAGAACAGTGGGGAAGCACTTTGAGGCAACACGTGACATTAAATCAGTGGTGTATTGATCTAGGAACAGAAACAGTAAGCACAAATGACAGGCAAGTCAACCTCATGTGCCATCCCAGAGGTCCCAGACCCCGGCCTTGTACACCTGCCTGAATGGGGCACAGGGTTTTCAAATTGGATGCCCAAACTACCTAAGAGTCTATCCTGGGCCGGGACCTGTGTGAGGGTGCATTAGCATCTCCCTTAACCCTGCCATCCATCTTGGCAGGTGTGTGTGGTTGCTACCCCTCATCTACAGATGAGGAAACAGGTTCACAGAAAGAAAGTGCCCGGACCAAGTTATAAGCTAGCTAGTAAGTGCCAGAGTTGGGACTTGTACTCAGGCACATTTGCCTCTAAAACACAGCTTCAAAAAGCAGATCCAAAGCATTTCTTCCCAAATTCAGGAAGGGGGGAAGCATTTCCATACCACTTTCCCCATCATGCACACACACACACACACACACACACACACACACACACCTGCTTGCCAGAATCTTACAAGGTTATATAGAGGCTTTCTCTAGGTTCCGTCATCTAAATGGTCTCAATACTTTGCTATCTCAAGGCTGTGTCCTTGAGGCAGCTTCTAGAGTGGAGAAGGCAAGTGGAATGTACATTTTAAGGGCAAGGGAAGGAGAGAGGGGTCTCTGATTACCGGTCCAGCTCCTGGGTCAACGGACAGGCATATCCAATGAATGACCTCCTCCAACATTCCACCCCTCATGACTGCCCTTACGATCTTACACGACCCCCTTTTCTGCAATAAGCCTGAGCAGGTTTCAATAGCATGGAGATGCCTCGTTTTTTGTTTTTGTTTTTGTTTTTGGCAGCTACTTGACTGCACTGGAAACAGACACCACAGTAACCGTCTCCAGTGGTCGGCAAACTGCGGCTCGCGAGCCACATGTGGCTCTTTGGCCCCTTGAGTGTGGCTCTTCCACAAAATACCACATGTGGGCGCACATGTACAGTGCGATTGAAACTTCGTCGCCCATGGAAGAGCCACACTCAAGAGGCCAAAGAGCCGCATGTGGCTCGCAAGCCGCAGTTTGCCGACCACTGGTCTAGGCACACGAAAGAGTAAATACTGATGATGATGATGAGTCCCCAAATAAAGAACCGGTTCTCCGCAGAAGCCCCATGATCCGAACCACTGACTCATGAAGCCCTCTAGGCTGGGGATCCGATCACTCAGGGCTTCCATTTGTGTCTTCACGTGACTAAGATGATAAGTTAACGGGCTCTTCAGGTATGAATACACAGCACCTGTTTGGATGGTGGCACAGGTGCCTCCCTGCACAGCAGGAACAATGTTCGAGGCTGTCCTCTCCCGGGGGACAGCTTTTCTCAGAGACGTTTCTGTGTTTAATCAAGACGGGCTTTGCCAGCTATCATATAAGGCTTGCTGGGAGCACTCAGTCCGGCCTGCATGTGTGCTATACTGTCCTCCAGGCCAATGGAGGGAACAAGGACAGCGGCCCAATGACTGTACCGGGGGAAAAAGAAGTGTCCACCTGGCCTTGAGGAGAGGGAGGCTGGCAGCTTCAGGAGCTTGACCTGGTTATGCATAGCATACAGGATGCCAGGGAGGCAGCACGGTCAGGTGTGAGGAGCTGGACTGGAGTAGGATATGGTGACCAGTACCCCCCCTTTCTCCCCTCTTTCAGTGTGCGTGTTCCGTTCCAAGCGTAGTGCATCTCAACAGGCCCAGTTTACAGCAGGGCAATGGGATCCCAGTGGAGACTGAATGGTTCCCCCTCGCCCCCGGGTACCAAGTAACTCACCCATCCTGGGCAGTCGTTGGAGCCAATTCAAGTCCAACAGGAATCCACAATTTGGGGTGCGGTGGGTGAAGGAGGAAAGTTTATTCGGTGCAAACAGGTCAATTGTGATACGTCGCAGCTGTGGAACAGCTCAGTGGCGTGAGAGCTTAATTATGAAATAGCACAGCTGTGGGGCCGAACCGCTAGGGGTGAAGGGGCTCCAGGCGTGGCCCCTGTCAGGCTAGGCCCCTAGCCAGCTGGCCGCAGCTCTTCTCCTCAGCTCCAGTCCTCCCAGGCCTTCCCTGGGAAGAAAGTGCCCTCCCTACGCCACATGTTCCCGCTGCTGATCCCCACAAATGAGGACCCGAAAATCCTCACAGTATGTTAATCCAAAAAGCACTGTCCTGATTGGCTGGAGTGGAACCGCTCTGATTGGTCAGTGAAAATACAAATGAGGATCTAGCTACACAGCTCTGATTGGATGAGGAAAGTCTCCGTTCTATTGGTTGAAATAGGAATCCAGCCAGGCTGGCCTGGCTCAGTAGTTGAGTGTGGACCTAGGAACCAGGAGATCAAGGGTTCGATTCTGGTCAGGGCATATGCCGGGGTTGCAGGCTCGATCCCCAGTAAGAGGCCTGCAGGAGTCAGCCAATCAATAATTCTCTCTCATCACTGATGTTTCTATCTCTCTCTCCCTCTCTCTTCCTCTCTGAAATGAATAAAAATATATTTTAAAAAAAAAAAAACAACAAAGAAATACGAATCCAAAGAACTCCTTTATTAAGGTTGGTTCAGAGGACAGGAAACCAGTTCCGGCTTCTCCCTAAAGTGCGGCTCGCTGGAGAGACCCTATTTCAAAGTGGCAGCTGGGCTCCGTTTTTAGATTTCAGCCCAGTTAGCAACCAGGAGCCTTTCTTGGTAGGCATCTTCTTTCTCAGGGTCCCCATGGCTGAAGTGGTTTTACCTGTGAGGAATTTAGTCTGTTGCTTTTATTCCATTTTTCCTTTCCACTGTCCAAGCTGCTTGCAGGTTTTAGGGGAGAGGGAACCTCCATTCAACGTCATGTTCTTTCGCCCAGTCTTCTACATTATGACCTTTGGAATGGGACACACACACCCCCTAATCACTGTCTATTCAACTTGGGTATCCATAGATACTCCTCAGCTTCTCTAACCCCATAACGGTGGCAAGCTGCTTCGCACAGCAACAGGGGAAAGCTTAGGTTGGGCCAGGCGCCGTGTCCGCACAAACCTAGGTATATTTGGAGGGAGCAGGCTCATATAACCAATTTGCTCATCTCTTACAGTTGGGAACTCCAGTGGATGGCCCCAGATGCCTTTGGCCATTGCCATGGGTACTGTTTAGAACACATTGGCTCTGCTGTTACTGCATTAACCAAATTACTGTATTTCAAGGGCAATCTGGCATCCCTGGCACTATGCCATCCCACCCAGGCGCTACAGTGGCCACTCTTCCTATGCACCCAATCGCCTCTATCTACTGAAGGGACAGTTGCCAAGGCTCATACCTGGGCTAGGGCCTGGGCTTGCTGATGCAGGGGATGTCAGGGCATTCTGAGCCAGGACGTGGAAGACAATGAGAACTGCCTCGGGCTCCTGCAGGCAAAGCCAGAAGTCTTTGTACCTGTTCTGACTTCCCCAGGGAATATTGCTGGTTATCCCACCCCTTAGCTTCCCATTGTCCAAACCATAGGTTAATCCAGCCGTGGGCAAACTACGGCCAGCATGAATAAAACTAAAAAAAAAAAGACCGTACCCTTTTATGTAATGATGTTTACTTTGAATTTATATTAGTTCACACAAACACTCCATCCATGCTTTTGTTCCGGCCCTCCGGTCCAGTTTAAGAACCCATTGTGGCCCTTGAGTCAAAAAGTTTGCCCACCCCTGGGTTAATCTCTTTAGAACTGCCCAACAGTCGTGCAAAGGGTCAATGGCCAGGGTGCATGAGTGATCACCAGCCCCAGCCAAACGCTCTGAGTTCAGCCCACTGGCTGCTGCGGTTTATTCCAGCTTCCGGGTATGTTTACCAGCCGGCCGTGGAAACTTCCCCCACTCCCTCTCTGCAGGCCGCAGGGACCACCACAGAAAAAGGGGCAGGGATATTTGAAGTATCTGCACACTCTACAGGGCCTAGCAGCACCTGCATCTCAAGGTAGTGGGCTGGTGGTCAGAGTGCTCCTCCGCTTGCCATTCCTCAAAGTGGAAGTTTGATCCCTGGCAGAGGTAGGTCAACGAAACATATCCTCCATCTACCCCTTGATGGGAAGTGAAGTTCTTACCAAGATATGCTGTTCCTTCTACAGAGGCTCTCCCTGGAGGAGCGCTGTGCACACTGCTAGGAGCTATTGCTGTTTGGGAGCGTATAGGTTTCTGCCTCTTTCCAGAGCTGGGACCAAAATCCTAGGGCCGTGGTCGACAAACTGTGGCTCACGAGCCACATGCGGCTCTTTGGCCCCTTGAGTGTGGCTCTTCCTAAGCCTTAGGAGTACCCTAATTAAGTTAATAACAATGTACCTACCTATATAGTTTAAGTTTTAAAAATTTGGCTCTCAAAAGAAATTTCAATCGTTGTACTGTTGATATTTGGCTCTGTTGACTGAGTTTGCCTACCACTGTCCTACGGGTACTCTCCCCTGTCATCTCTGCCACAGAGCCCAACCCATAGCTTCGGGAGGCACAGACACATTGAACTCAAGTGGTAGCCCTGCTTGGGAGATGCCCAGAGCTTCAATCAGTTTCCCTCGTGTTTCTGCCTTCCCAAAGGCTGCTCGCTGCTCTGAGTCCTAGTCCCACACGTGCCCTCTCTTTACCAGGCAATTCAGAGATGGAGGCACTGTGCCAGGTGAGGAATAAAAGTCCTCCCAAACCCCCAAATCCCCGGTACCTCTTTCACAGTCTTAGAGGTTGGATGGATTTGCACTTTATCAATCACAGCCTCTGGGACAGCATGCATCTTACCCAGCCAGATGACTCCCAAGAGCTATAGCGGTGCCTGGGCCCCAGGTTTTCCGTGGATTCACCGCCCATCCCCTCCCTTGCAGATGTTCCAGCAAAGCCTGCAGGGTCCTGCAGCAGAGCCAGGTCTCTACACATTAACATTATGTCATCAGCATATTGGGCCCATTCTACTGACGGGAAAGAAAACAAGGACCCGTCTCCACCTACCATTCATTGTATCACATATTGTGGAACTGTGCGGGTAGCCCTGGGAAAGCATGTGAAAGGTACATTACGGCCCCTCCCACATGCAGGCAAATTTTTCTTAGTTATCAGAAACCTGTACTTGTCAGAGTCTTGCAGGGAATCTCCTTGAAGACAAGCACTTTTGCAGGAACTTCTGCAAAATCCCCAGAGTAAAACCATAACTGTCTGTAAATGACAGAAAATTAACAATGGTCATTGGTCAAGATCTGCTGAGAGTTCATTGTCGTGCAAGTTGACAAGAAAATTTGGTTAGTCCTGTGATATATATTTTTTACTTATGACTGATGACATTATATCAGAACATAGCAGATTTTTAGGAATTTTATATAAATAGACCCTAAAGAAAATTTAGCATCACTTCTTATTTGATAGTGCTTCCCATGTAATTTAACATATCAGATAAGCCTAATTAGTGTGATCTCTCTTTTATAAAAAGAGAAGACATATCTTTTGAGATGCTCCAGGGGTCCTCTGGAATATCCCAAAATTAGTTCAAGGTCAAAAGAAATCATTTAGAATGTGATTTGGGGGAATTTTGTAAAAAATATCAAAAGGTTACAAAACTCCTTATTAAACAGGATCATAAGTCATTATGAAACAATACATTACCCATTTAACCAAAGTAACAAAGCCTTTAAAGGCAAATATAGAAAGTTACATAGTTGTAAAAAAGAAGGGAAGAAAGAAAGGAAGGAAGAGAGAGAAGAAAGAAACTTCGCTTTTTTATCAGAGAAGACTCCCCTTTAAAGGCAAATATAGAAAGTTACATAGTTGTAAAAAAGAAAGGAAGAAAGAAAGGAAGGAAGAAAGGAGAGAAGAAAGAAACTTCGCTTTTTTAACAGAAGACTCAGTTTTCTTAAGTAATCAAAGGCCCAGTAAAGACAACATAAAGCATAGGAAATTATTTTGATAAAACACAGAATCTTTGTTCTCTAGGTAGATTACTTAAAAGGTAAAAGAAAACCTCTCACAATCTTATCAAGAATAGACACACAGTCCAAGAAAATTAAGCTTTAGTCTGACATAAGTACCCTGATGATACTAAAGCTTATTTTTCTTTAAGCCAATTAAATAGAGCTATTTTACAAATTAATTTTGGCAATACCCTCCAGAGGTGGGAAAACAATTAGCAGTGTGGTTTATATACAAACATCAGATATTCCAGGCTCCTCAGAAATGCTTTTGTGGTGTTCAGTCGATTAAACATTTCCCTCCCTCTGCAGTCAGACTTACGATACCTATTTACTTTGCACTGTGGGTATGTGTAGGGGGTATGGGGACTAGGTTTCAAATGGTCTACTTGGCCCAGACTTTCAGGTACAGCCCTAATTGTGTGTAATTGTGGTCTTTTTGATGATGACAAAATGCTAAGTGTATAACTAAAGGTTAAAGGACTTTCCAGATAAATTAATTTGCATATCAGGCAATGTAACCCCCTATTAGACAATGTGCCCAGATTGTTGCTGTGGTAAATTTATTCACTTATCTTCTTAAGTAATAAAAGGCTAATATGCAAATCAACCAAATGGTGGAACGACCGGTCACTATGATGTGCACTGACCACCAGGGGGCAGATGCTCAACCCAGGAGCCGGGCTCACAGCTGGCGAGCCCAGCGGCGGTGGCAGGAGCCTCTCCTGCCTCCGCGGCAGCGCTAAGGATGTCCGGGGAGCAGGCCTAAGCCCTCAGTCAGACATCCCCAAGGGCTCCCAGACTGTGAGAGGGCACAGTTGGGCTGAGGGACATCCCCCCCCACCCCAGTGCACGAATCTTGTGCACCGGGCCTCTAGTGAATGAATAAAGGAACACATGGAGCAATTCATTTTCTCTGACACAGAGGCCACCTTTCTGAGGTGCACGAAGAGAAACTGGACCCTCTCCCAACTCTGGGGCACCTGGGGCTTGCCTGGAGCCCGGAGCCCCATCGAACGTGAGAGGCACCGAGTGAGAGGCTTCCTACCTGCTGCTAATGGCGACAGGCAGGAAGGTTAGGAAGCTGAGATCTACAATCAGCTCTAATGCTAATTTGCTACTTAACATGTGCCAGATACATGCTGCTGCCACCATCACTTCCTAATTAAAAGGGGGAAAAAAGACACATTCTTTTCAATTATACAGATGACATTATTTGCTACTCAGAGGGGCCTCAATCTACAACTTTCCTCCTGGCTCATTGTTGCCATCAAGAAAAGTCACTAAAGATCAACTCTTATAAACCAAAGTATTGCCTGCTTCTGGTTGGTTTATAAATAAACACCTCATACAACAACTATTCCCATTTAGTTACCTCGCTGTACACTTAGCAAATTATGTGTCAGGAAGGGTAGACCAGGGAGGAGTATTAGGCAAAGCTAGGCATAGCTTTAATGCATAGCTTATTGAGATTTTATTTATAGTTGTTTTATTTATTTACTTACTTACTTATTTCAGGAGAAAACTACAGAAGCCAGACCACACAGAGTGGACCTTTGGAGCTCAGTTGCGTGAATGAACCTGCTGTGTGGCCTTCGGAAAACCACCTAACATCTCTGTGCTGTATCCTCCTTTATGCTAAAGCATTACCGAGGCTTCCACCTGCACCAGCTTTCTCTGCCACTGCAATTTGACCCGAGACTGACCAAATCATAAATGCATAGTTAATGGGACAAAAATTTGTGAGAATTAGGAATTCTGCTCATTAACCCCATGTCACCATCTGCTGGAGCAGTGTGATGAGAGGGCCAGGTGAATCTGAATTGCCCAACACTTGTTCAACCTACAGACTCCTGCTCCACTCCCCCTCCCACCCCCTATGCTCCACTGAATCAGAATCTCTGGGGGCGGGGCCTGGAAGACCCTATTCTTTCAAGGGGTTATGGAGGGCAGGACCACACTCCACCCAGAACCAGCCGTGCATGGGAGCTCTTACTACCTGTCAGGCACACCAGGCTGGTTTCTGGAGTTTTGCACTTGCATTTCCCTCTGCCTGGAAAGATGTCCCCCATGGCTGGCTTCTTCTCATTTGTCATCTGCTCAGAGAGGCCTTGGCTGGCCTCCCTGTCTCCTCCCTCCACCCCACCCATTATCCCATCACATTTCTTTTTCTTCTCAGTCTAGTCATTTTCTGAAATTCTCCTCATCTCCCTGTGAATTATCTGTTGCTCCTGCTGGAATATAGGCCCCCTACCCCTACCCCTACTCCTACCCCACCCTCACTCCTGGGCTGAGAGGCCTAGATTTCTGCTTTGATTTTAGGTCATTTCCCTTCTCCTCAAGGCTATGAGAGCCCACCCCACGCCACCTTTTCCTGCCCAACCTCTCTGCTTTATGTATCTTTTCTCGAAATATTCTTTATTTCCTGTTCTTATCTTGATGTTCTTCTCTTTCGTGTTCTTCTCTTTGAGTCTCTTCGGCCCCTCTTGCCCCTAGGAAGGAATTAGAAGGAAGAAACCATCACTATTTGCTTTCTTTCTGGGTCTCAATCCCTGGAACCAACTGCTTCCAACGTGAGGACGAAGGAGCAGAGAGTCAACAAGCCACAGACAGGCCTTCAACAAAAACTTTATAAGCACCACCTTGGCCATGGGTGAGCTGCCACGCTACAGAACACCAGGAAAGAAACGCAGTGCCCATACACTGGTCTGCCTTGCTTCTCGGTGGAACTTCCTCTCCCCCTTGTGGTTACAACTACCGATCTTGGGAAACAAGTCCACAGTGGTGGCATTTATCATACTTTGATCACTGGGCTTATTACACAAGCTCTTTTGCTCATCAGCCTCTCTCACCCATCCACCCACCTTCTTTTTGTTGTTGTTGTTAATATATTGTTATTGATTTCAGAAACGAAGGGAGGAGATAGAAGAGAGGCATCAATGATGAAAAAGGATCATTGATTGGCTGCCTCCTGCACACCCCCTACTGGGGATCAAGCCAGCAACCCAGGCATGTGCCCTTGACCAGAATCAAACCCGGGACACTTCAGTCGGCAGGTCGACACTCTATCCACTGCGCCAAACCAGCTAGAGCCACCCACCTTCTTATATCCGTGCCCTCCCCTCTCTAGTCATCCATCTGCTCTATAAAAAGTGTTTTAGCGTCTATGGGCAGGCGTGCACTTCATTCGAGTACCTATTTGCATTTGATGACTTTCCTGTATCTCCTGTATTCATTTGAATTCAATGTGTTTGCTCCCTAGCTCTTTCATAAAACAACGTGAAATAAAAGTAATGAAATAGGAATAAGAAAGGGGAAAACAAGATTAAGGAAAAAGGAGCAATGCATCTATGTTGATCACCATGTTCATCTTTTTCTCTGCATCTGTATGCATTCCACTCCCAATTCATTACACATGTTTTAATGTGCCCAACTCTGAGGTAGGCACCACCAGGGAATAACCCAGGTGTAAAAAGCGTGGCCCCTGTACCACATTTGATGGGAGGCTCTTTAGCAGGCATGACCCCATTAGATTTCTGTAAGCAGAAGAGGGGTCATGGTTTCCAGGATATGAAAGAAGAAACTGAGGCTCAGAGAGTTGAAGGACCCTGAGAAGATAGCAGGAGGATCTGGGGCTCAAACCCCGGTTTCCTGACCCCAGAATTCATGCTGTTTCCACTCTGCCTTTATCCTAGTCCAGCTTCCCCACAGATGCCTCCCAGAGCTATGGCCCAGTGAGGCAGCGTGGCCGTGCCACGTCAACTGGCCACAACAAGAACAGCTGGCTCTAGGGAGAAGGAAATCAATGAGGGTTGCAGAGCATGAAGAGAGCGGCAGGAAGGATGGGCAGGAGACGGAGCCTGGAGGAAGTTACCAGGCTCGGTCGGAGAGCTATCGTGGGAGGTCCTTCCAGACCCTATGTGTCCTTGTGTGTGTCATCCAGAGGCCACAGAAAAGCCACTGGAGGCTGGGTTTCCAAGAACTTATTGTGGAAGGAATGAGAATGAGCTAGATGTCTTTGCCCTCTATCTCTATATATAAATATATACATATATGTGTGTGTGTGTGTGTGTGTGTGTGTGTGTGTGTGTTTCCTTTTTCTGTGTCTGTTTTTATACATTCAGCGTAGCTGGGACTCATTGCCTGCTAACTTTGGTCTGGTCCCTTTAAGAAAGCTGTGTGGGAGGACACCAGTAAGCAAGAGAGACCATCCACTGTTGTTGGAGGAAGTCATCAAGAGCACTTAAGCCTGGTTTACCCATGAGCGGAACCTAGTCTGGCTCCCATTTTATAGGTGAGCACACTGAGTTGAGTTGACAGGAGAGAGTTGCCCAGAGCAGCCACGCCACCAGAGTCCAGACTGGGACCCGTGTCTTGTAATTCTATGCTCTCCGCTGCTCAGCGAGTGCTGTAAACACCAATTAAACTACCGGAGGCAGGCAAGAGACTTCATACAAAATAAATGCAGTCCAGGATGATGGATATATTTAGGGGATAAATTATTATGTGATGATATAAAAATAGACCAAGGGAGAGCACATGACATTGCAAGCCTGACTGTGTGAGAGATGGGGAAGTCACGTGGAGAGCACCGGGGACATTTAATTAACGTTGCTGGGAAAACATCCTGAGGCTGCCACCTGAAACCACCACATTCAGTCTTCACTTAAAGTAGCAATACCTGTGGTCCTACACAGAGGCATTAAAATCCAATGGTCCTTGCAGTTGTTGATGAAAATAATGCCAACACTCAAGCGCTTTGGTGGGCAATCCCAATTCTAAAGCAAATGCACCCATGTCTGAGCATCAAGGGGGCTGTGGGCTGCATACCACTGACATGGAAGTGTCCTCCTACGTTTCTATACAGATAGAATTTCCATAAAGGGAATGTACTGGGAGCCAAGATCTCCCTTCCTCCTATGAGGATTAGGCAGAATAACCTCATAGGAGGAAGTGAGACTAAGGTTAATGATGTTGAGTAAATTGCCCCTGGTTCCACTGTAGGTGTGGGAAGAGCTTCCAGTGAGAGTCCAGGGTAACTGAATCACACTGTTGTCCATGTGCCTCGTGAGACTGTGGAGGGCTGTGGTCAAGGGCTCACGTGTGGTGTCAGATGGCTGTGAGTTTAAGTCCTGAGTCTACCACAGGAGCTCTGTTACGTGAAGCATGCTGTGTAACTTGTCTAAACCTCGGGTGACTCATCTGTAAAATGGGAATATCCAGTACCCACCTCTTAGGGCTGTTGGGAGGATCTGGTGAGCCAAATCATATAAAGTATTGACAAGTATCTAAGAAGAACCCAGTGACTATAGCATCGTTATTAACATCCTCATTGTTATTACTACTACTAGGGTCCCTCGGCCTGGCCTGCGGGGATCGGGCCAAGACCAGCTCTCTGACATCCCCAGAGGGGTCCCGGATTGTGAGAGGGACCGCAGAGATCCCGCAGGACCCCAGCAGCAAGTTAACCTACTGGTTGGAGCATCTGCCCCCTGGTGGTCAGTGCACATCATAATGACTGGTCGAACGGTAGAACGAATGGTCAGACACTCAGCATATTAGGCTTTTATTATATAGGACTAGAGGTCTGGTGCACGATATTTGTGCATGGGAGGGGGGCCCTCAGCCCAGCCTGCACCCTCTCTAATCTGGGACACCTTGGGAGACATCCCTCTCACAGTCCTGGACCGCTGGCTCCTAATCGCTCACCTGCCTGCTTGCCTGGTTGCCCCTAACTGCCGTCCCCCTGCTGGCCTGATCGCCCCTCACTGCCCCCCACTGCCAGTCAGGTTGTTCCCAATTGCCCCCTCCCTGCTGGCCTGGTCGCCCCTAACTGCCCCTCCCTACTGGCCTGATCGCCCCTCACTGCCTCTGCGTGCTGGCCTGATTGACCCTAACTGCCCCCCACTGCCGACCAGGTTGCCCCCAACTGCCAGCCTAATCGCCCCTAACTACCCCCCACCAGCCTGGTCACCTCTTACTGCCCCC